AAGTTTTAAATTTTCTGTTTTTCTCTGAAGAAGTCAGATAATTAATGTTTGTAAAATGAACTGACAGTATCCAGATTTTAAAAAGGACAGCCAAATAAATTGTGTGCAGAGTAACAGGCCCTCCCTGCGCTGCCTGAGCTCCCTCAGCCATCAGGTTGCCGTCATTGGTGCATCAGGTTGTTTATTCACGGTGACTGCAGACCCGTTCTGAAAGCCCTTCTAAGAAAACATTTAGAGGGCATTGTGGTATCCACTTGTTATCCTAGCACTTGGGAGGCTGAGGCAGGGGATTTGCAGTGAGTTCAAGGCCAGTCTGGGATATGTAGCAAGACTTCATCTCACAAATACTTTGTTTTTCAAATAGATTAGTGAAGTACATTAGTCCCCCTCCCTAAGATCTCTGTACTGCCTGAGTGTGAGTGGATGGAGGCCAAAGGTCAACAGCAGATGTCCTCCTCTTTGCTCTGCACTTTTTGTTTTTAAGGATTTGTTTTTGCCTGTACACTGTGTGTATGCAATGCCTATAAAGGCCAGAAGAGAGTGTCCCCAGAAGGTTGTTAGCTGGAAGTGGTGCTGGGAACTGAACCCGTGTCCTCTGCAAGGTCAGGAAGTGCTGTTAGCTGCTGAGTCATCTCTAGTCCCTGCACTTTATTTTTGGAAATTAGGTGCCTGCTGCAGTGCTTGCCTGTAAACTGGGCATTGAACTTAGGTCCTCATAGTGGCATGGCAAGTACTTTAACAATTGAGCCATTTCCCTGGGCTGATGGGAGGTTAGGTAGAACAGGTCAAAATTCCCTAAAGTCTAGGCAGCTGTAAGTGCAGGTCAGAACTGAAGAAGAGAGTGCTGAGTCCTAATACAATTCTAGCTTTCTTTCTTTTTTTTTTTTTTAAATAATTTGTTTATTATGTATACAGCATTCTGCCTGCATGTATGCCTGCACACAGCAGAGGGCACCAGATCTCATTACAGATGGTTGTGAGCCTCCATGTGGTTGCTGGGAATTGAACTCAGGACCTCTGGAAGAACAGCCAGTGCTCTTAACCTCTGAGCCATCTCTCCAGCCCCCAATTCTAGTTTTCTAATCCCTTAAGTGGATTTTTTAATGTCCATTTTTAAATACTGTTTTTTAAGGTAGTTAATAGCACATAGAAAGTTGCAAAAAAAAAGTACAAATATTAGATTTATGGGAAGTTGCAAAACCTATACAGAGAAATCCCCCATACCTTGTACCTGATTTTCCTGCAATTATACCTTCGTGGTAGTACTGTATCAAAATCAGAGAGTAGTGTCTAGACATGCATATCTGTGTAGTTCTGTGATGGTTATTGTGCATGCATGTCCATGTAGTTCTGTGATGGTTATTCTGCATGCATGTCCGCGTAGTTCTGTGATGCTTATTTTGCATGCATGTTCATGTAATTGTATGATGTTTATTGTGCATTCATGTCCTTGTAATTCTGTGATGTTTATTGTACATGCATGTTCGTGTAGTTCTGTAATGCTTCATTGTGCATTCATGTCTGTGTGGTTCTGTAATGCTTTATTGTGCGTGCATATCCGTATAGTTCTGTGATGCTTTATTGTGCATTCATGTCCATGTAGTTCTGTGATGTTTATTGTACATGCATGTCCGTGTAGTTCTGTAATGCTTTATTGTGCATACAGACCTATATTACTTAGATACCTGAAACAACTCTCCATTTTGGAACTTTCCTTCCTGCTGTCCCTTTCAGTCATACCTGTCTCCCTACTGCTGGCATCCTGCTCCCTCTTTGGAATCGCTTGACTCTTCCTAAGGACGCGGGATTACTCTTTACTATTAATCGGGGTTTCCAATTACATTTTTCCTATGGTGGTTGTTCAATTTGAAGATCTTACATCTTGTTTTTCTTTATTGGTGTTGACAAATGAACCCACACATGCTGAGCATATAAGTTCAGCCACCAAGCTACGTTCACAGCTACCCTCTTTCTCTTTGTCTCTCCTTACTTTCTGTCTTAAAAGAAAATTATTGTGTGTGTGGGTGTGCGCACACACATGTGTGCATGCTCATGGGTGTACACATACTTAGGTGTGTGCATGCCACCAAGCATTTGTAGAAATTAAAGACAGCTTGTGGGCTTTTCTACTATGTGAGGTTGAACTCGGGTTCAGCAACAAGCAGTTTTACCTACTGAACACCCCCTCCCCATTTTACCTACTAAGGATACCCCCACCCTCACTTTCGAAATTACTGCTTTCAGTTACCTAATAGCATTCTCTCGATAATTTGTATGTGAGATTTTGTTGTAGTTTTTTTAATCTCTTTGTCTCCAGGGTCCTCTTTTTGGATGCCTTGCTTTGCCCCACCCCTCCACACACACATTATGTAACTGAGCCATAGGAAGGTTAATTGTTATCTTTAACTTCTTGGCCATTATCTTAAATTGCTATTTTCTTAAGTCTCTTAAGATTCCTGTTATTTAGATGCTAACACATGGATTCTTAGTTAATGCCAAATTAATATTTTGGTGAGTTTTGCCAAGTGGGTGTTGTATTTAGTCAGTGTTCTCTAGAACAGATAGAATGAATCAATCTATTTGTCCATCTATCAATCCATCCATCCACCTATCAATCCATCTCTCTCTAGAAAAGGTATTTATTAGAGTGGCTTACAGGCTATGGTCCAGCTAGCCCAACAATGGCTGTCTTATCGATGGAAAGTCCAAGAATCCAGTAATTGTTCTGTCCATGAAGCTGGACGTCTCAGCTGGTCTTCAGTATATGTTGAGATCCCAAAGAAACAGGCTTTAATGCCAGTGAAGGAATGGACTTGCCATTGAGAGTGAGGGTAAGCAGGCAAAGAGCATAGTTTCCCTCTTTTATGTTCTTTATCTAGGCTGCCAGCAGAAGGTGTGGCCCAGATTAAAGTGGGTCTTCCCACCTCAAAGATCTGGATTAATGGTGGATCTTTCCATGTCAAATGATTTAATTGGGAAAAATTTTTCCCGGGTATGCCTAGTTGCTTAGGTTTTAGTTAATCACAGATGTGAAGTTGACACAAGAATAGCCATCACAAGTCCACCCATTGTCAGCTTGACACAAATTACACCTTCTTATATCATGCTTAATTTCCAAATAAAATAACAATCAGGTAATAATTACACCTAATATGATAGAGCTGTCCCACATACAAATGCAGATACATTTTAAATTTATAATAGGTGGTAATGTGCTTTGATGAACATTCTTTTAGTATCTCATAAATTAAATATAATAGCCACTGATACTCTCCTAATTGATGTTATAAATATGATAAATCAAGGAAAATACACAAATATCTGCACAGACACAAAACATGACACAAATATGACCCGTATAATAACTTTTCTCATCTAAGAGTACTGATGACATCTTTTTCTTTCTCAGATTTATTTTGTTGTCTACCCAAAGGGTTCTTTTCCTTTTTTCATGTAGGTCTTTTCTTTGATGCCTTTTGCTGTATTATAGAAACCCTCTGATTGACTTGAAATCTGTGGACAGAAATTTGCCTTTAAATTCAAAGGAATTCAGTTCTATTAGCATACACTTATCAGTATTTTTAAAAGGTGGCATACATTAGCCATGTGTATGTGCTTCATTAACATTCAGTAAGATATGGAGGTAGTAATCCTAATTTTGAAGCAGTGAGGAAGAAGTGATACTTTTAAGCTATCTCTACCAGTTGTAAAGTGATAAAAAAAGTCATTTCTTTTGTATTACTTTGCAACCAGCATTTATAATTATAAATGGCTCACTTATTTTATTTTTTATTTTATTTGGATGGATGTTTTGCCTGAATCCACATCTTTATACAACTTGAGTGCCTGGTGTCCACACAGGCCAGAAGAGGGCAGTGGATCCTCTGGAACTGGATTTACAGATGGTTATGAGCAACCATATGTGTGCTGGTTATCAAACCTAGATCCTCTTTAAGACCAGCAGGTGTTCCTAACTGTTGAGTTATCTCTCCAGGCCAGATTGACTCATTTCAAGTAGAGGGCACTAGTGTAATTTTTTTTTTTAAAAAATGAAAGTTTAATATAAGATCTTGAGCCATTTGAATTCTATTCTTAAATCTTTGGTGTTCTCATGGTCTTTTTTTATTAGAAGTATCTTCAAATATCTGAAGTCAACAACTGTCAGGTCAAAGAATGAGATGTATAAAAAGCTAAATTGTGGGCTTGGAGTTGTGTCAGAAGACCTTACATTGGATCCTCTGCACCCCTGTAAAATATCAGACCAGAAGCAGCTGTCTGTGAACCTCAGCACTTACTGGGTTATGGGAAGAGGGACAGGTGGGACCTGGGGCTGGGGATGGCTGGCTGAGGCCAAACCAGTCTGGCTAAAATGGGAGCTCCAGGCTCACTGAGAGACTGTCTCAAAAAGTGAGATGGAGAATGATTGAAAAAGACATCCAGTGTTAGCAAACCCATAAACATGTGAACATATATACACCATACCATACATGGATAAAAAGAAAGAAAAAGCTAGTTGTGGAGCTCTGAATGATTGAATGGGTTTGATTATGTGTTATGGGATATTCAACTTTAATTATCTCTCAGAGAACATTCCTTCATACTCTGCCTATGAAATTTAAGTTTGCCTATAATTTTTTTTTTTTTTTTAATTTTTGAGACAGGGTTTCTCTGTAGTTTTTAGTGCCTGCCCTGGAACTAGCTCTTGTTCACCAGGCTGGCCTCGAACTCAGAGATCCACCTGCTCCCCCCCCCCCCCCCAGTGCTGAGATTAAAGGCGAGTGCCATCACCACCCAGCTGCCTATAATCTTTTAGACAATAGTTTTATGCATATAATCTAATAACATTTGTTTTTAGTTTTTACAGAATAATTAATATTGTTAGACATTCTTATTGGATATTCCAGAAAAGAACACATGCAGACTTTAAGTTCCCTAATATGATGAAAACTGAGCTATTTCTTACAGTTAATTTATACTTAATTTTTATTTTAATCTTCTAGGAACTCTCAAGTTGTGGATGGAATAAAAAAGAAAAATATAGTTCTGCACCGAATGCAGTTGCTTTCACGAGAAGATTTAATCATGTGAGTTGTGCTTATGGGTGAAGAGAGGCGTGGCTGTGCCTGATAGCCGTACCCTGTGGGAGCCAGAGAGTAACATCTAGTGTCTCCTCATACTGAACGTCATCACCGTCACCCCATTTTTAAGACAACCTCTCACTAAACTTGAAGCATATGGATTGACTGTACTGGCTGACCAACAAACCCCTAGATCCTCCTGTTTCTGAGACCCTGCCACCCCTACTCCAGCTTTGCCTACTAAGCTTTTTACATGAATGCTTGAGGTGCAGACTCAGGTCTTCTTGTTTGTGTGGCAAAGCACTTTACCCACTGAGTCGTCATCTTGGCCCTTCATTTGTTTGTTTGTTTGTTTGTTTGAGGCAGGGTTTTGTGTTGTTTAGTCTAATTCTACTTGCTGTATAGCTGAAGATGACTTTGAATTCCTCATCCTCCTGCCTCTGCCTCTTGAGTGCTAGGATTGTAGACATGTGCCACCACGCCTAGGTTCGTTTTTTATTTTTAATATTTGTTTGTTTGTTTGTTTATTTTGTCGAGACAGAGTTTCTCTGTGTAGTCCTGGCTGTCCTAGAACTCACTCTGTAGACTATACTGGCCTTGAATTCAGAAATCCTCCTGCCTCTGCCTCCTGGGTGCTGGGATCAAGGGTGTACACCAACTACACCCAGCTCTCAGTTTTCATTTTTCTAACTTCATAATTTTCATAGATTTGTCAGAAATAATTGTATTTATATAAGCAAATTATATGGTTTGCTTTTTAGCTTTGAAAATGTGCCATGGCATATTGTACAAGTTCTCCTGTGGCCTTTTTCATTACATTCATGTGGTGTGGGCAGCTCCAGTTTATTTAATCACTGATCTTCAGTGCTTCCTTAGCTAAATCCATTTGTGCTCTTGATGACAGGGCATTTTCTGAATGTTTGCCTCTGCGAAGAGGTTGCTGTGAGTACTGGGTCTCTGGCTCCACGTGTGAGGATGCTCCTGACGGTGACTTCTAGCTGTCCCTACCTTCAGTTCTTGTGTTTTAACACCTAAATTTGAATCCTTACCACTAGGTCTTTCTGGTTTCTAAACTTTGGTGTTTTGTTTTTGTTTTTCAAGACAGAGATTTCTCTTTGTAGCCCTGGCTGTCCTGGAACTCACTCTGTAGACCAGACTGGCCAAGAGCCCACCCCTATTTGAGGTCATTAGAAGGTAGATTCTCATTTCATCATTTTTATTCACAGTTTGGAATTCCTGGTATGATGCTTTGATTGAGGATGACACTCCAAGGTCCATATGTTTGAATGCTTGGTCTCCTGTTAACAGATCTGTTTGGGAAGAATTATAAAATGTGGCCTTGTGATAGGGAGTGTGTCACTGGGGGTAGGTTTTGAGATTTCAAAAATACACACCAGGCCCACTGTGTGTTTCTGCCTGCTGCCTGAAGATCAGGATGTAAAGCTCTCAGCTGCTGCTTAGCACCATGCCTGCCTGCTTCCTGCCTTGATAATGGACTAACCCTCTAAAACTGTAAGCAAGCCCCAATGCTTCAAAGTCTTGGTCACGGTGTTCTCTTCTCAGCAGTAAAACAGTGATTAAGAAACTTGGGGCTGGTGGGTTTACCTAGATACCCATCTTAAAGGAAGCACAAAAGATCCTGAGGTCATCATCATCATTTAGTAGTTGTAAAGATAATGACTTGGTGTTCCATCATCTTCAGAGAGTAACCAAGTAGTTTTCTGTTTCTGTCTTGTCCCCTTCTCCCCCTTGGTTGTCACACCATCCCATTTTTAGCTAGTAGGTGATGTTACAGCTATCTCATTGAAATCTCAGGAATTCACTGATACTTTAGGTTCTCGGGACTGCTTTTTCCTTTGTCTCTTTTGTAATATATCTGCATGTCCTTTCTCCTGGACTCTTAGGTCTAGTGTTCTAGAAACACAGACCTGTAGTCTAATCCCTTGCTTTATCCTGTGTGTCAAACCACAGTCTTAAAAACAGTAATAGCTGAATATTCCTAGTCTGAAAGTCCAAGCCTGAAGTGCTCAAAATCGCAGCGCTGTGACACCATGAGCTGACTTGTCCCTGACTTCATGTGACAGGTCACAGGAAGCTGTAGGTGCATTTCACACCTGTTGATAAAATTGCCTTTTAGCTCTGTGTATAAGGTACATATGAAACCTAAGCAAATTTAGTGTTTAGACTTGGGTCTCATTTCCAGGACATGTTGTGTTTACACAAATACTCCAAAAACCTAAACAGTTATTTTGAGTAAGGTATATTCAGCCTGTACTTACAGGCAGCCACCACCGTGACTGGAAACAGTAGGTTTGCAGGCGTTCTCTCTGTCCCCATTGTCTCTGTGCTGTCTGTGTTGGCCTTGTGGGGCGCTCTCTGTATTTTAGTTCTGTGAATAAGTATGTAGAGCTTACACTGATGTTGATGCCTATTGTCATTTTTATTGTCCAAAACTTGCTCTCAGGTAGCTCATTGGACAGTACTGCCTCAGTTCAGGCATGAAAGCAAACTTGCTTGTGTTCTTTATAGGTAAAAACTGGCTTTATTGGATAAAAGATCCTTGATTCCATTTTCTTTGATTATTTTTTTTCCTATTTAGAGTGTTCGTGGCTATTGGAAAGTTGGATGATAATCTTTTTCTTTAAAAATAGTTTTCTCTTTTTGTTTAGATAACCATAGGTGTTTTTTTAAGTCTAATTGTGTCAAACTATTTCTTAGCCCTGGTTATTCTGTCAGTATCTTCAAAAATGATCAGCTTTAATCAGCTAATTTTAGTCTTTTTAGCATGGTCTCTGTGAGCTTGGACGTCTCAGGACTTAGCTCAGGATCTCCCAGGAGAATTTCCCAGCAATCAAGGCAGACACTGTGTGGTCTATTCAGACTTCACTCTGGAAGTCGGAACCAACTTATCTAATCATCTTTTCTTGAAAGCTGCCTAGTTCATCAAGGGGTGTGATGGACATCACAACTTTTGATGAAAATGACAATTTGGATTTTAAAAATCATATTTGTCTTAAACTGTGTCTAATATGAAATTTAATTAAGTCATTGATGATGGAGCTTAGATTTGAATTAATTACTTATATTTGTTCTTATTTTTAATATCAGTGTTACAAGTTCTATTTAAATGTTTAAATAGATATAATAACTCTAAAATATGTCATTTTATGTTAACATAAATTCACAAAATGCATGAAATTACACGCACACATGTTTACAACTTTTTACAGGTGGAAATTCCAAGAAAAAATGTAAGCTATTTCTCCTTTTTTCAAGTGAAGAAATAACAGGCTGTGAAATCATGACCCTTTCACTGGACTTCCGCCCAGATTAAATCTGCACCAGCTCCAAATACTTAGGTTCTGTTTTTGCAGTACATGAATTGAAATGAGTATTTGTATAATTTTGTGTGTGTGTATTCGTGTTTGAGTGCATGCATGCTGTCATGTATACCTAAAGGTCAGAGGACAATCCAGAGTTGATTCTCCATTTCCACCATGAGTTCTGGGGATCAAACTCAGGATACCATCCTTACAGTGGAAGCTTTTTTTACCTGCTGAACCATCTTGCCAGCATCTGATAATTTTTTTTTAATTAGTGCTTCATTGAAATAGAAGGTACCACAAAACTTTTTTTTGTTTGTTTGTTTTTTGAGACAGGGTTTCTCTGTAGCTTTGGTGCCTGTCCTGGAACTAGCTCTGTAGACCAGGCTGGTCTCGAACTCCCAGAGATCCGCCTGCCTCTGCCTCCCGAGTGCTGGGATTAAAGGCGTGCGCCACTACCGCCCGGCTCCACAAAGCTTTTTAAATGAGGTCTTTATTAGATATTTCATGGTGTTTCCTTTTAGTCATAAGAAAACCATAGTCAAGAGCAGTAAAAAGTGTGTTTTAAAAGTAATTATAGGAAATACACCAAGTAGCATTTAATGTTAATTTTAATCTTCATAAATCTTGCCCTTTGGTTATTTTTTAGTTGTTTTTTTTTTTCAGGTAAGCTTTTGGGTTGTTAGAGAAATTCTCCACGCTCAGACATTGAAAATAAGAGCAGAAGTTCTGAGCCACTATATTAAAACTGCTAAGGTAAGCATGGTGTGTCTTTAGCTCACCCATTTGGAAGTTTTAAGTGACTGTTGATTGATTCTAGAAAATAAGGGGATTGAGTACACTGAATACCTCTTTTCTCTGCCTTTTCCTTTATTCATGGCCACTCTCATTGTTATAGATGGGTTAGTGTACGGTAAATGGCAGTACTTGTGACATAGAAGACTATGTTGAAGGTGATGAAGAAAGCCATGTAGGATCAAGTTGGAGAATATATAGTAATTTTCTATTAGTTTTTTTTGTTTTGTTTGTTTGTTTTTATTTATTTTCAATCATGAAATAAACTGCCCACCTATGCAGAAAATAAGACTTTGCCGGTGGAAGAGATGGCTTGTTCTTCTTCCAGAGGACCCAGGTGCACTTGTAGCACCTGTTGGTGACCTGATGCCTGCTTCTGACTTCCATGGGCACCAGGCACTTGAGTGGTACACAGTCACACAATAAAATGAAAACACATAAATCCTAAGAAAAGACTTTATTTTTAAAACAATTTTGCAGCAGACCATGCTGACCTTGAACTCAGGTCCCCTACCTCTGACTCCTAAGTACTAAGATTACAGGTATGAGCTGCCATGCCCTCCTGGACTTTAGTTTAAATGAATAGTAGATATGATGTTACCAAGTGCTCTGAAGAGTTACCGAGAGGCAGAGATAATAATACAGCTGGAAAAGCAGCATGGATTTCAAGGGTAGTTGGAATTCTGGAGAGAGCAGCAGGTTTTCCACAGAAAGATACTGAGATGAACCTGTAACAACTCCAAATTTATGTTAACTTTGCTAAATGCCACGGTACATCCATGTTCATTCTTCATGATTCTTAGAACAAACAGGTCTTATCTCACCTGTGGATTGAAAGATGGTGGAATAAAATAGGGGTGTTCTGCTTGTTATTTAAATTGGAATTCCTCCTGTATTTCCTGAACACATGGAAACAATCCTATTCTAACATTCTGTGGCACTAGGTGGCAGGATTAGCCTTCCACATATGTGAGGTTTTACAGAAATATTACAGGAATTTTTAAAAAACATTCTGTGTGAAAAGTCAGGTAAGTACTAGTTTTTAACTAAAAAAGTTACAACTTTTCTCATAGATTCTGAATTTCTATTTTTTCTGATATCTTTGGTAGATGTTTTTTTTAAATTTGTATTTTTTATCCATACAGTTTACCATTTTTCTTACCAAATAATTTAATTTCTGTCCACACTCCAACTTATATTTGACAGCTTTTGATTTTATTACAAGCCCCAATTCCCCATTGTTTCTCTTACTACTGTTAAGTCACAGTTCTGACGCTCTGCCTTTTGTATTTAGCTTATTGGTCTTTCCCTTTAATACCTGTTTCAGTCAGTATTCTTTAGAGAAACATAACCACCAGCATTCTGTATAAACATGTAGAAAGATTCAAATACAAAATGTATGACAAGATGCAGGACATTGACTCACATTAGTGATGAAGCTTGCAGTCTGAAAATATTAGGACATGCCCACAAGCCACAGCAGATTCAGGCAAGAGTGGAGGCGGAAGTTCAAAATGCAATTTTCTTTCCTTTTAGGTCTTCTGCATGTTTTAGCATATATCAAATTTAAGGTAGTATTTAGTCCCAAATAAACGTTTAATGTACACTTATTTAATGACTAGATTATATAATCTCCTGTGAAGGTTTATATCCTGTTTCATGTTTGCTGTTTTTTTTTTATTTGCTTCCTTTGGATTGTCCATTAAATGTCTACCATAGGGCTTATCTAGTTGCTTGGGACAACTGTAAAATGACTTATTTTTAGATCCCACTTTTAGGGTAGAAGTATGACAAAATTCTGAGAAATTAGCAGCAAATGCAAAGTGGGTTTCTTGGGAAATTAATGGACCTTACTGTTTGGTGTGTGCATACTGTATGAGTAGAATCCCAGAATGGATTAGAAACAAAGGATTTAGGCTCTTGGACAAGAGAAGGTAGGATATGGAAGGGAGCACTGAAGACAGTGAGTTTGAACTCTGGCTCTGGGATAGCAGGAACACTGGGCAGGAAACCAACCTACGGAGACCCTTTTTTGACTTTACCACAAAGCAGACAATCAGTAAGACTGCACTGCAAAGGATGCAGCTGCTGTCATAGCCTGGGCATGGCCCTTGTGGACACGCCAGTTAACTTGACAACAGCCCGTAACTTCAGCTTTGAAAGTATATTGCCCATTTAGAGCTGGATTTATTCCCAGAGCGTGGGTTGAAAATGCCAAGGTAGAACATGGACAATATATTGTGGGCCAAAAATAATTTTCTGGGTTCCCTAGTAGACAGTTTTCAACAATGACATTAGTAAATACTGGTATTCTACCAACTGCCTAAATTGAGTTAATCTGTATTTTCCTACATTTATTTTCTTTAAAAAAAATACTTCTCCCCTTTTTATTAAATCTTCAGAAACTGTATGAGCTTAATAACCTTCATGCACTTATGGCTGTGGTTTCCGGCTTACAGAGTGCACCGATTTTCAGGTTGACTAAGACATGGGCGGTGAGTAACCCTCTGCAGTTTAATGAAGCATTAGACTTCTGTGCAAAGTAAAGATTTTATTAGTTTCTTTTGTCAGTCTTAGTAGGATGAATATTATGGTAATAAAGTCTTAAATGTCTTGCACTTTGTTGTTCGAAACCTACATTTAAGACTCCATAAGCATTGCACTGAGCTTATAAGGGAATTTGTGGGTAGACTGAGGCCGATGCTTGGGTTTTGCACTTGAGCAAATTGTTTTGAATACCTCTTAAGGGTATCTGATGACATCCCTTGTCATACTCTCCTGATAATTTGCATTTAGCAGTGTACATTTTACACTTTTGGTAAGTTTGAAGAGCTGAATCACAACCTTTAAAATTTTTCATTAATACCAGCTTCTATTATTTTTAGTCATAAACCTTAAGAGCTGTAGAAAAATCTCGTGGGAAACATGGAATTATATGATACTGCTCATGTTCTGTTATAACAGTCATCATATTGGGTCCTGTTACTTTAACAAGATTAGGTTGTGATTTTTGCCATTTGCCAGTGTTTCTAGCTTTATCTTTGAGTACTCAGTCTTTCTAGGTTGTCTTACTTCCCTTTTCTTTCCACACTAAGGCCTCCCACAAGCACTGTGTCACTGAGCTACTTCCCCAGACCACTTTTATTGTTTTTACTTTTTGAGTCAATGTCTTGTCACTCAGGATGGCCTTTACCTTGGGGTCTTCCTGCCTTATCCTATCAAGTAGCTGGAGTTACAAGCCTGTCATACAAGCCTCTGTGCAGGGGTAGGCGTGTGTATGTCTGTGTCTGTCTGTGTGTCTATGTCTGTAACAAAGGATTATAAAAAATGCTAAAGTATTGTGTGTGTGCACATGCTCGTTTGCTGACGTTCATGTGTTAATGCATGTGTATTCAGAAACCGAGGACAACCTCAGTGCTGCTCCTCAGAAGCTGTCTGCCTTCTCTTTTGAGACAGAAACTTTCATTGACCTGGAGCCCACCAGTTAAGCTGTGTAGGCCGCCTGATGCTCCAGGGATTCCTTTGTCTCCACCCCACCCCCAGGACTGGGATTTGTTTTCCACAAGCACTTTACTAAAGGAGCTTTCTCCCCAGGCCTCTCACCTTGTTCATAGGAAATCAAGAAATGCTGCTCTTGCTTTTCCTGGTGTATAAGGGATAGGTTTATATGAAAGCTGTAGCGTTTCTATATTGGAAAATTATTAGTGTGGAAGAGCGTGCAATCTTTATTCTTATGTTATACCAGGTGAAGGATTTTCCTATTTTAAAAATGTATTTTAATTATGATGGTCTCACTCTTTAAAGTCTGAATTTCATGGAGGGGGCTGGAGACCATAAGTACACAGTTAGGAGTTCTGTATTTAAAATTCCAGAGAACGGCATTATACTTTGGTTTATCTTGTGATTTAGAAGTGAGATATACTTCCTTCAAATTGTTATCTTTCTTGAAAATATTTTTGTTTACCCTCTCTAGTTCTGTGAAAACAAGGGTTTTTTTTTGGTAACAGTTCTATTAATCTATAATAAACTTAATAAATTTTAAAAATTTCATTTAAGTGATTGATAAAGATCCCATCCTTACACATCTGATAATCTACTGGAGAAAGATAATCTGTAAAAAAATGAATTATATAGTAACAAACATGAGAAGAAAAGTATGATGAAAAGGAAAATAAGGCAGCATTGTTTTTTTAGCAATATGAGAAGTGGGTGTCTTATAGACACATAGAGGGTGTATTTGGATACAAATACCAGGGAATTGGTAGATTGGGTGGTGGGAGTCTATAAAGGCTTCTCTGGCTGCCTTAATTTCTTTAGAAACAAAGTCTTTAGTTGAGAATTTTGAAAGAAAGCTTTGAAACTTTGAAGAAGGACAGACATGTCATCCAGGAGATTATGTCTAAGGAGGCATGAAAGGTCCCTGGGCTTTATAAAGAATATTTGGGGTCATGAATTTTAAGTAAAAGCAACCAACAATTCCATCTTGCTAGGCTCAGGCTCAGTGTAAGTGTGGTATGCTGGCGAGAGTTGCACTTATCCAAATGAGGTTTTTTAGTCACGTTTGTCCTAGAGAGATCTAGAGCAGCACGAGAGGGAGTTGTCTTATTCAAAGTTCAGGAAACTAAGCCAGCAAATAAAGGTGAGAAATGATAAATGATGAAAAGGAAGTAAAACGTGACAGGGGCCGTAGAGCCCAGTAAAGTGTGTGCGGCACAGTTTAAGATGACAGAGCAGTGGCTGGAAATGGCGGAGGTGCAGTAACTGGAAGAGAAGTCAAAAGAGGCTGGTGAATGTTACCATGTAGAGTGTAAGCAATGAGACTCATGGTACAGGAAGCGGTGGTTTGTAGGGCCTTTTTTCCAGCTTCTAAAATCTTAAAGACAAAAGAGGAGGTTACTTGTAGGCTGTGAATGACAGTTACATAAAGTGTGACTTCTGACATAGTAACACTGTTACTCGGTGTTCTTTTGTCTAACATAGTAGCCATGGGTTGCTATTAACCTTAACTAACTCCAAGTCCTCAGCCATACTAACTAACCACATGGCAAGTGCTCAGGAATGTTGACTAGCAGGCATTGTTTGAACAACACAAACATCCACATCATCACACAAAGTCTACTGGACAGTGTGAATCAGTGCTAGAATGTCAGACATGCTGAAGAATTGGGGGAAGAAAATGGAATGATAAGCTTGGAGAGATTGTGAAGCTCAAAGAACAAGAATTATATCTAAGCCCAGGCTTAAATCAGAAGGTTTATAAGAAAGGAAAGATGTTTGCTGTGAAGGACCCTGAGTCGCACGAGGTATTAGATGGGAAGGTTGGGTAGAGTAGGCTGTTGCATCTGAACCTAGAGGGATAATGTAAGATCATAGATGTTTTAGTGATTAAAATCTTGAGGGTTTTGTTTGTCTGGCGTTCTTAATTGATAAAAGGAAAATGACACAAGCTTATAATATCCTATAATATAGGTAAAATATTAGGAACATTCTCCCAATCTTAAAGAAAAAGATGCCATTTTCACTGTTACTGTTTGATGCGGGATACTTAACTGCCATAATAAAATAAGAAAAGGATAATTTTTTCTTTAAGAAATGAGGAAGAGGATAATTATTTAGGTTAGTTTGCTTGTCTATAAAGGAAACTTTAAATTATTTTAAAAGAAAGAAGTTATTAAAAAACAATGAAAACTCCCCTAAAAATTAAACTGAATTGCCATGCAATCTGTTCCTCTTCTGGACATATGCCCAAAAGAATTGAAAGCTGAGATATAAACATACTTTTGCATAAATGTTCACAGCAGCCAGAAAGTAGAAACAGCCAGGCGTTAGTGCAGAGATGAATGGCAGATACGTGTGATGTAATATAGACATAGAGTGCATTATTATTCAGCCTACAGAGGACACTCTACAACATGTTGTACCTCGGATGAGCCTTACAGATGCACTGTGTGGCGTCAACAGGCTTAAAAGGAGAAACAGGATCTGTTTATTTGAGCTGCCTAGAGTGGTCAGATTCATAGAGATGGTGGAATAGTGGTGGCCAGAAACTGGAGAGACGAGAGTGAGGAGTTACTGGATAGTGGGATAGAGTTGTTACACAGAATGGTTACCTTTTCCTGTTGCAGTGACAGCGCCTGATTTTGAAACAGCATAAGAGAGAATTTGACTCAATCCACAGATGGGGAGTATCTGTCATACAGAGCAGTTCCCCAGCTGCAGAAGTATGCAGCTAGAACTCCTATACAGCCTGCGTCAGTACCAGAAGCAAGTATAACCTTCACGGCTTAGTCCCACAACTCACTTCGTCTGGCCAAGACCTATGTCTCAAAGGTTCCACGACCTCCCCAAGTAGTACCACTTGCTGGTGACCAAGTGTTCAAACAAATTAGCCCATGAAGGGGACATTTCAGACTTTAACCTAAAGCATGTTTTAGATTTTTCAATGTCTCCTAAAGAAGCATGTAGTCTAGGTCTTTTAGGAAGTAGCGGGGCCTTGTAGTGGCTGGAGTTACGTCACTGTGTAGTCTCAGGTACACACATCTCTATGCTACCATGCTGAGGGAGTGGACAAGAAAAGGAATTCTGCTCACCAGTGGTGGGGATGAGAATGGTGCAGCCATAATAGAAACTAGAACAGAAATTTAAATTTTCAGAAAATTTAAAATAGAGTTACAAGATGACACAGCAGTTTATCTAAGTCTATTTCCAGAGGAACTGACATGCAAAGGTTAAAGATCTGTCTGCTTTTTCTGCGTTAGAAATTGTTCACCATCCCCAAGGTATAGGCTGCATTTGCATCAACATAGATGAACTTGAAGACTCTAAGCCAGAGACAGAAATATTGACTCTGATGTGTAGCATTCAAAGTTGAATTTGTAGAAGTAGAGAATAGAGTGAGCATTTTTCAAAGTAAGGGTAAATGGAAGAGGTTTGTAGTTCAGTGGGTAGACACAAAGTCAATTTTTACAGAAAATTTGAGATATAAGGTGCAAGCATAGTAACTATAGGTAATAATTTTATGTACTTAGAACTTGCTAAGAAAATCCATCCAAAATGCTCTATTAGCTTTGGACCGTATAATACATATTATGTGTGTGTGTGTGTGTGTGTGTGTATACATATAGATACCTTAAATACATAACATTTTAGCATTTATGCACCAGTACTACTGGGGTAAAGATCAGCTATAAAATTTATAAGAAAATTCTAGGTTTAAAAAGGCAGAATATATCTTAGAAAGTGGGGTTTGAAGACATTAGCTTTTGCCTGTTGTGTAATTTGGCAACATAACAGCAGATAAATGTGTATATGTGTGACTATATCAAACTGAATAAAACCCAGAAATAGATCTCTGCTTTGGATCCCTGACATAGGACAAGGAAAGTATTTTAAATTGGTGTGTTAGTTAGGGTTTCTGTTATTTAATAAAACACCATGACCAGAAGTAACTTGGGGAGGAAAGGGTTGATTTCATCTTACAGCTCTCAGATCACACTCTATCACTGGGGGAAGGCAGGGCAGCCCAAAGCAGGAACCCGGGGGGGGGGGGGGGGGGGGGCAGGCACTGGTGCAGAGGCTGTGAAGGAATGCTGCTGCTCATTTACTCGGCTTGTTTTCCTAACAACTGAGGACTGCCTGCCGCATCCCACTGCATCCACTGAGAGCTAGGTCCACCCACATCAGTCATTAATCAAGAAAATGTACCACAGACCAGAAAAGACTAGTGGGTTGGGTGTCAGACTGTTCCATTATCAGAGCCAGTCTTTGAGACCCCCCCGAGAAACAGAAGCATGCATCTGTGTAAATAAGACTGAGAGCACTGGTACAGTCTTCCACTTGCTATCCCTGTGACTGACTCTCTTCTGTCATCTGTAATAGCACACACAAACTTTCTTGTTAACCTTATAGCAGAATTAGATGGCGATTGTGTAAGTGAAATGTTTGCATGTTGTACAGAGAGCCAGTATTTTAACATGTAGTAAAGTCAAGTCTTACTGTGTTGTGACAAAATTGTTACTTCAGAGGTTTTAAACCACAGTCTTTGGAATGCTAACAGAGCAAAACAAACCTCCAGGAGCTTTAAGTTAGTATTGTGAGTACTAAATCGCTGTCTTTCACCATCCCTGGTCATTTGTAGTAATCTCCAGCGCATATGCTGCAAACTGTCTCTGGATCTGTCAAGAAAAGTTGTTAATCACTTACAGTTGAGTGTTTCTTGGTGATTATGAAGGAATGGTTTTTAAGGAAGCAGTGAGTAAAAATCTTTGGGCATTTGAAATGAATGTATTCACATAGTTATTTTAAGTTAGAAAAAACAATAAAAAATTACTTAATTACATATAATAGTAAAATAATATATTATAGCTTACCTCTTAGTAGGAATAGGTTCATTTATGTGCATATAAAGGTGATTTTATAAATACTCTGTCATTAATGCATGTGCCTGATTTTGTTTTATTTATATCCTACCAAAATAAAATTAAGGAAAGTATAACTTTAAAATTAAAATCCAGATTTGTGCTAAATACAGCTTCTGTTCAGTTCTTTGCAAAAATAAAATGGAACTTGTAAATAACTTAGGCTTTTCTGTTTGTTTTTTAGTTATTAAGTCGAAAAGACAAAACTACCTTTGAAAAATTAGAATATGTAATGAGTAAAGAAGATAACTACAAAAGACTCAGAGACTATATAAGTAGCTTAAAGATGACACCTTGCATTCCTTATCTAGGTGAGTTACATCACTGTGTGTTCGTTGTCCCTGGGGGTTGCACTTTCTGAATCATTTTTATGAAATGCAGAGTATTTTTTTAAGAGCATATGTAAGATTTCTAAGCTGAAAAAAAATCAGGTGAAGGAATGTTTACCTTATTACCTGAAATGCTTTTCATGTTTAATTAACCCTCTGTTCTCAGGTTTTCCATAGATTATAACGTTAACTTAGAAATGGGCCATGGTAAATGATATGTTTTAGCTATTTAGTAATGCTTTTTTGTTTGTTTGTTTTTGAGACAGGATTTTTCTGTAGCTTTGGAGCCTGTCCTAGAACTAGCTCTTGTAGACCAGGCTGGCCTCGAACTCAGAGATCTATATGCCTCTCTCTGTCTCATGAGTGCTGGGATTAAAGGCATGTGCCACCACCACCCAACAGTAATGCTTTTAATGACTGGGGAAAAAAACAAACTTGTAGTGATTTTTAATATTCTAATTGAAGACAGTGGCCCAAGCTCTTATGTAATGGACAGTTGGTTTGAATTCTAGAGTGGTTTCATTTAATTATCAGTATTACTGTTTGCCTATAATTTAATTGGTTAAGTGTGGAAGTTAAGGTTAGGGCATGACAGTTTTGTATTTTATTATTTGGTTAAATACTTACATCTTTATATAAAATATCTTACAGTATTAATTAGTTCCAAAAGCTATTTTAATAACTTTATAGATTTTTTTCAACATAATATGAATAATGCTTTGTTGACTGTCGAGTTTTTAAAGGCCCTGAATAAGCCATCCTTTTAAATTCATGTGTAAATTAAATATACAGGAAGTGCTGTAGGTGATACGTATCTGAGATCATCAAAACAAGTTGGTTTGACTCTGTAGAAATTCATTGTGGATAAGCTTTTTTTTTTTTTTTTTTGGTTTTTTGAGACAGGGTTTCTCTGTGGTTTTGGAGCCTGTCCTGGAACTAGCTCTTGTAGACCAGGCTGGTCTCGAACTCACAGAGATCCGCCTGCCTCTGCCTCCCGAGTGCTAGGATTAAAGGCGTGCACCACCACCGCCCGCTGTGGATAAGCATTTGTTTCTCATCTTACTGCCTATCTGCTCTCAACCGTTTAAGTGGCTGCCTTAGTAGAGTTAAAGAGAACAATTTCTAAGACTAATTACACGTGTGCTATTTGTTTCAGATATTTTAGTGTAACCTTTTAAGCTATTGTATTATTAGTGACTAAAAGACAAACCCAGAGGCTGATACGTACACCTCCTCTGTTGTAGAGTGCATCAGTCTTAGTTCACAGAGAAAACTTAACTAATAGCATCATCGGGCGTCTTAGGACTCCTGGGGTGAGATATATTCACACCCTGTTGAAGGCATAGTATCCTAAAGTGTAGTGTAGGTAATGGCCACTCCAGTGGTCCGTCTGTCTTTCTTTTCTTTTCCTTCCTTCCTTCCTTCCTTCCTTCCTTTTTTTTCTTTTTTAGATTGTAGCTTAGCTGTGCTCATATTTAGAAATGTAATTTGGGGAACTGTTGTCCTTGTGTTCTGTAAAAACAAAAATAAGCCTTTTGTTGTATAGGCTCATTGACCAAGAATTGGTGATCCTTGGTTCTAAAAGGGCTTTTCAGTGCTTAGCTTTCAATCAGTTTATTTCAGTCTTCTATGCTTAGATTCTAATCTATTTTCTTTTGAGTCAAGTGATGTCCTTACTCCACCTTCTTCAAAATTGAGAACCAAGCATGTACAGATGGAAATCTATCTTTCAGTACTCTAAGAGCTCAGTTATAAAATATCCACAGTCTAATGGCTTTATCTAGTGCGTTCCAATCATACCTGCTAAACTCTCTAATTCAAAATTTCCTGATTCTATGACTGCCTTCTCACTGAATTGCTTTTCTATATTAAATGCCATAATTTGTTATCTTCTTGAGAAAATTAATTTTTTAATTAAGAATGAGAAAATGAGAAATGAATTCTAATGCTATGATTTCTAGTTCAGGGATCTTTGTGTTACATTGTTTCATAGAGGAAACTTGGTGCAGAAGTTTAAGCTGTGTGTGTGCATATGCACATAGCCGTATACATTTGTGTGTGCACAAAGCCATATGCACTTGCGTGTACACAGAGCCATATGCACTTGTGTGTGCACAGAGCCATATGCATTTGTGTGTGCACAGAGCCATATGCACTTGTGTGTGCACAGAGCCATATGCACTTGTGTGTGCACAGAGCCATATGCACTTGTGTGTGCACAGAGCCATATGCACTTGTGTGTGCACAGAGCCATATGCACTTGTGTGTGCACAGAGCCATATGCACTTGTGTGTGCACAGAGCCATATGCACTTGTGTGTGCACAGAGCCATATGCACTTGTGTGTGCACAGAGCCATATGCACTTGTGTGTGCACAGAGCCATATGCACTTGTGTGTGCACAGAGCCATATGCACTTGTGTGTGCACAGAGCCATATGCATTTGTGTGTGCACAGAGCCATATGCATTTGTGTGTGCACAGAGCCATATGCATTTGTGTGTGCACAGAGCCATATGCATTTGTGTGTGCACAGAGCCATATGCATTTGTGTGTGCACAGAGCCATATGCATTTGTGTGTGCACAGAGCCATATGCATTTGTGTGTGCACAGAGCCATATGCACTTGTGTGTGCACAGAGCCATATGCATTTGTGTGTGCACAGAGCCATATGCACTTGTGTGTGCACAGAGCCATATGTATTTGTGTGTGCACAGAGCCTAAAGTGTAGTGTAGGTAATGGCCACTCCAGTGGTCCGTCTGTCTTGTGTGTGCACAGAGCCATATGCATTTGTGTGTGCACAGAGCCATATGCATTTGTGTGTGCACAGAGCCATATGCATTTGTGTGTGCACAGAGCCATATGCACTTGTGTGTGCACAGAGCCATATGTATTTGTGTGTGCACAGAGCCATATGTATTTGTGTGTGCACAGAGCCATATGTATTTGTGTGTGCACAGAGCCGTGTATGTTTATGAGCCTCTTTGTAAATACAGAGAAGAAGGGAAGTGTTGGGAAGAATTTGCAAAGGTTTTCTGTTGGAGACTGCCCCTTCTCTCCCAGCCTTGGAGCCTGAAGCAGACAAGGCAAAACTCTGGTGCAAGATGTTAACTTATAGAAAATACCAGAACCATCATCTTTACTGTACATTCTAGTTGGTCTCCAATGGCCTAGGCTCCCTTTCTTTTTATGTTCTTGTGTCTTGGAGTCTTAGTTTTCACTGTCACCATTTACTTAGGAGAAAGAGCCCTGCTGTCACTTCTGTTGCTCAGCACACTGTCATCTCCCTTCACCTACTTGGCAGGGTCCCTTGCTTGTGTCCCATACAGTGTCCCATGTGGTGTCCCATTCAGTGTCCCATGCGGTGTCTCATGCTTATATCCCATGCTTGTGTCCCATTCGGTTTCCCATGCAGTGTCTCATGCTTATGTCCCATTCTCAGACATCTTCTTTACTTTGTGATTAAGGTTCTAGTTACTCTGCTCTTTGCAATTGCTCTTGGCTCACCCTCTAAACTTCTGGGTTTTGTTTCATTGGCTGCTTTTTCTTTTAAATATGTAATCATTTAAATTTGTCTATTTACTTTTTTGCACTGTACTCTGAATATAGTGGAGTGATCTTACTCAGGTTTGACATACAGTATTTGATAACCTCAGCTCTGGACTGGGCCTGTATGTCTGTCTACTTAATTTTTTATAAACTGAAATATCAAATCAATTGACTTGAGATACTTATTGACTTCTAGTTGAACATGTGCTTACATGAGCTCTTCCCCTTCCTGCAAATCTAATCCCTATCTCATCTTCTATTTTAGTTCATCACTAATCTTATCTGTATCCCCTTATATACCTTGGAATGTTATAAAAGTAAGCACTTGAGTAGATATTTTGTTTTGTTGAGACAGGTCTCACCATGTATCTCTGACTGGCCTGGAACCCACAGAGATCTCTCTCTGCCTCTACTTGACTACTTGATATAAAGGTGTACACCATCACACCTGGCCAGAAGATAATTGTTTATTCAACTGATTGCACTGTCCCTTTCTGGCTTTCCCCATTTTTAGCAGTGTTGTTTACTTCTATTTGAACATAATAGTGTACTTGTATATAATATTCACATGATTCAGCTCTGCGGTCTGCAGTTTTCTTTCAGTGTCTCGACTGACACCAGCATTTACTTATCCTTGTGCTTGGTGCTAGATGCATAACAAGGAATAAGATGAACTTTGTTCCTCCCTTGTGGATTTAATAGGCCTTGAATACAAACCTGTGGCTTGTTGATCTCCTCCCCATCCTCTGTTTATCATGTAATGTAGGAAAACAAGATGTATGTATCTTAACAGCTAAAAGTGAAAAGGAACTTGGATATTGTGATACATGCATATAATCTCAGCAGTCGGGAAATGGAGACAGGAGAATCATGAGTTTGAAGCTAGTTTAGGTTATAGATTAAAGTCTGCCTCTAAAAAAATAAGGACTTGGGTATTGCCAAAGAATTTAAGATGATTCTGTTGAGACCATATATTTCAACAGCTACTTTTTTTTTTTTTTAAATGTGTTGGTAGTCCTCACGTGGTTCATCCTTACTCTGTTCTGGGAAGAACATCTATTCTAGAATGAGAAGATACGGACCATTTGGCACGAATACTTGGTAGACTTGACAAATTAAACTAGCCACATAATTAATTATGACTTAGTTTAGTTTCCAGCTTGAAAATTGTCCTTTTCCTGAACTGAAAGTTTTGTTTAGCAGTGACCCTTTTGAGTAAACTTAATCTGTTAAAACATGTGTGCTTTTCTTTTTAAGTTTATTTGTGTGTGTGCACGTGTGCACATGCTGCTTGAGTATATATGCATATATGTATGGAATGATGTCATATCCCTTGGGGCTAGAGTTACAGACATTTTTGGATGCCCAGCTTGTCACATAGATGCTGGCATTCAAACTTCCATCCTCAGAATTGCACAGCAAACACTCGAGCC